TGTGTGGTGTGGAGCGGAGGTTTCTCTGCAGAAAGGAGACCCCAAGCCCGCACTGCATGTGGGTAAGGAGGCTGAATATATACCACCCAGGTTCTGGGAATCCTGAGCCAAGAGGTTCACACCAAACTGGCTGAGCCTCTGGAACTTGGGGTCCCGGAAGAACTAATGCCAAGGCGATGAAAACACACATCCGCAAACCATCGGCTCCCACGGTGAAAACAATCCCTACTTCAGATGGTCTCCTGATAAACAGTGAACCACCACCACGAGCCACCGTGAAGGCGAGGCTTCAGACACAACACGTGGGAGAATCGGTACCCTTAAGACTAGAAATAATCGAACACTTGAAAGAGGCTGTACGGGGGCGCCTGGGTGGCGCAGTCGGTTAAGCGTCCGACTTCAGCCAGGTCACGATCTCGCGGTCCGTGAGTTCGAGCCCCGCGTCGGGCTCTGGGCTGATGGCTCAGAGCCTGGAGCCTGTTTCCGATTCTGTGTCTCCCTCTCTCTCTGCCCCTCCCCTGTTCATGCTCTGTCTCCCTCTGTCCCAAAAATAAATAAACGTTGAAAAAAAATTAAAAAAAAAAAAAAAAAAAGAAAGAGGCTGTACGGATAAACAGAATAAATGAAGACACGAAAGGAACAGAAACCATAATAAAAACTAGGACGCTAAAAAACAAAAAATAAAAAATAACAGGCTGATTTTAAAAAGCTCTGAAGAGAATTCCTAAAAATTAAAAATAAAAACGAAACCCTCAAATTTGGAAGGTGTAGTAAACAGCTGATTATGAATAGCTACAAGGAGATTTGTAAACTCGAAAACAGATGTTTTCGAGGAAGTGCCAGAATACAGCACTGGCAGAAAAGAAGATGGGAAAAGGAGAGGAAAGACAGAATAACATGGCAGGTTTCTAACAGGAGTTCTAGAAGGAGAGATCGGAGAGAATCAAAGAGATAGCAGAGAAGAGTTTCTGGAATGGGAAGAACGACACTGAATCCCCAGCAACATGATAAAGACATCTACTCAGACTGAATGCAGTAAAACTGCGGAACCCCAAAGACAAAAATAAAGTCTAAAAAGCCAGCAGAACAAAAACCCACGTGAAGCTCTCTCAGCTGCAGAGGAGACAGGCACCCGTGTGGTGCTCCAAAGTCCCACAGCACTCGGCTCCCCCGCCTCCGCCCCATCAAGAGGCATCCGCATCACCCTGGTGGGACTGCCATGCAGTCTGCGGTTGACACAAACCCCTCGAGGCTGTGGAGTAGGTCCAAGTCACCGTTGTCACCGTTTGTGCCCGGCGCCTAGCACAGCACGTGGTGTGGAGCAGGGGCCAAGGGAATGCATAGTAGTTCTCATGAAGCACTTATTTGCTTTTTTGGGTCTGGTCTGCTCTGTGAAGAGATCCCCAAACCCCAGTGTGAGAAACACAACTCTCGATCAGTCCCGGATTCACTGGATTGCATGTTAAAGGCAGTGAAGCTTTCTGCAACAGGAAAAAAGAAGGTGGTCCCCAGGTCCATGGGGGTGACTGGTAGTACCTGTTGGGGTCGGGTTGCGGGGAGACCTCACATCTCTTAGGTGCAGCTTTGAACAGCTTTTGGGAGGCTGACGACATAATCTGAGTGAAAAGCTTTACTCCTCTAACCCCAGGCACACTAGGACAGCTTCTTTCCTCTAATGACCTCAAAGCTTTAAGAACGTTTATGTGAACCGTGCCCTCCAGCTCAACAAGAGGCAGGGTCCAAGTCCGGCCACATATGGACAAGTCCCAGGGCCTGTCCTTGGAACTCAGTGGCAAGTATGAGTCCCTTTATGCAGATGGAGAACAGGATGACATCAAGCCCCAAATCAGGACTACCAGGATGTTCCAGGGAAGGAAGCGTCCAGGGAAAGCGTCCAGGGTAAGGGTAAGAGCGTCCAGGGGAAATAAAAGCAGAGTGCCTATTTTCAGGGCCGCTCCATTAAAAAAAAATTTTTTTTAATGTTTATGTATTTATTTTGAGAGAGACAGAATATGAGTGCATGTGAGCGGGGGAGGGGGGGGAGAGAGAGAGAGAGAGAGAGAGAGAGAATATCCCAAGTAGGCTCTGCACTGTCAGTGTGGAGCCCAACGTGGGGCTCCATCTCACGACCTGAACCGTGAGATCATGACCTGAGCCAGAATCAAGAGTCAGACGCTTAACCAACTGAGCCACCCTAGTGCCCCAGGGCCGCTCCATTTGAAAGGCAAGACCACTGGGGAGAACGATCCAACAGCCTCCATACTCACTCACAACACCTTCTTTACTGACAGATTGAATGTGGCAGAGATAAATACTAAAATGACTATGAATTATACTGTGGGACATACCCAGATAAAAGTAGTCATTTCAATAATTAATTGTACCAAACAAATAGTCAGATACCAAGCTAATTCTTTCACATACAGAACCTCATCTCTCTGCTGCTCTTGAATTCATGTTATTGGCTGAGACAACACGGGCCCCTTAGGGCCTGGGGCGAAATATCCTCATTTCCTGAACACCACTGTTATACCAATACTGGGATTGAGGCACTCCAGGGGAAATGACCCTAAAAGTGAACAGAGAAATACAGGGCAGCGCCTAGGGGAGAGGAGAAAGTCACAGTCAAGTTCACGGGATTCTCCATGCTTCACTTCACAATTCACACATGGGGAGAGGAGTCTGCCTTTAGACAGAGTGCATCGCACAGAGCTGAGGGCCGTCAAAGACATGTGTGCCAGCCCCTTCCCTTCTCAGTACTCTGTTAGCTGCAGCGACAGCTCGCGGACGCAGCCCTGCCAGCACTGGGAAAATAGAACAGAATGGAAGTCATGAGATACATTCTGTTTGGGAAGGAGAGGCAATCAACACTTCTGTGGGCACTTTATACGATAGGCTGTGATGATGTCTTTACCATGTCAGTCCAATCCCCATGACGATCATTCCCCCAGTTACGGCAGAAGGTATCATTAGTCCCATTGTTCTTAACAGATGAAGAAACCGGAGGCTCAGACCTTAAGAAATTTGTCCACAAATTGAGAACGAACCTTCAGACTGCCTCCAAGATGAGCCAGAGAGAACCACAGAGAGGAGTCGCTGAGGCATTTGATGGCCATAGTTTCCCGGATCGTGGCTCCTATCTGCTCTCCTACACAAATGCTTTCAGTTACACATCTCTGGGGGCCAAAGCTTACCAATATTTACACCCCCTAAATTCTCCTCTTACGTTGCTTACTCTGAAAACATGCTAGGGGTTGGGGATTAGGCCAAGGAACAGAACTAGGCTATCTTTTCCTCTCGGCTCCAAAGACTACCTAAGCTGTGGCTGCCGTTGCACTTCTGAACTGCTAAGACATGAACCTAAAGGAAGGAAGGCCGGTGTCATCCTCCCACTGGACAAAAACGCTGCCAACCTTTTTCCCAAAGAGGAGGGAGTCAGGTCAGAATTGGAGTTTGTAAACCTTCCGGGCTGAAAGATGGGTTTCTGCTGCCACGGTCTGTGTGCACGGACGAGGCTGCCGTTCGCTGCCACCAGGCAAAGCACCGGCCCGGGGAGCGCAGGCTGGCACGGACGGCAGCTTACGGCTGATGTTTCTCTTACTCCCTGGAGACGCTCGCACTTGCCACCAAGGAACTCATTCAGTTGTCCCCACCAGTCCCTGGACCTAAGAAGCCCAGCCCTGCTGCTCTGATGAATTAAGCATTATGAGAAGCTGTGACGGTATCTCTGACAAAACGGCCTAGAAACTCTGGAACTCCAGAAACAGCGCCATCCAAGAGGACAGACGGTGGGGTCAGAGGGCGCTTGGCCAGTCTTTCCTAAAAGACTAATTTGGTAGGAATGGAGGGTATGCAACACTTACTGTGGCATCCTCTAAAGATAAATTACAAACAAGAATAACGCCTTGAGGGTAATACGAATGGAGATTTGGTCATGAAGGCACCCGGTTGACCCATCTTCCACCCGTAACAGAGCAAGAGTTCTTCAGGAAGGCCCGAGTTTCTCTTCTGGAACGTATAGTTCCACTGGCATGTGCCCATTCGATTCCTTCCACTGGGTAAAATTAAACGCCCAGATAGTTAAACAATTAGTCCTCGAGTCCAGGTTGAGACCGTTCTTGTCACTGACTGGGGTTCCCAAAAGCAGCAACTTGGGACAACAACTGTTGTTCGTCTGTTCTCTTCCTAGAGTAAATGTGATCGTGCGGACTCTTCCTCACACAGCTGTGGCGAGTGCCCTTGGGCAAGTTACATTCCCTAGACTTTAGCTTCGGCAAATATGACAATGATAACAATGAACGAACAACTCTTCGGGTTGCTATGAGGATTAAGTGGGATAATGTCATATCCCCAGTAGTGTGCCTGACACACAGTAGGTGCTCACTAGTAGCTGCCGTCGTTGTCCATCATCATCACTGTCATTGCCATCATCGGGCACTCGCCACCGCTTTCACGGCCTCACAGGCAAAACTACGTGGCTAGAGAGGCAGTCTGTGGGGAAGTGGAGAGGTGCTATACAAGTATGCCAGGCGCCACCTTGCTAATCCTAAGATCACCGACTGAGATCTCTGTAAGTACGCAGAAACCCCCCAATTACAAAACTCGCAAGGTAGGCTAACACAGCAAAACCTGTCCACATACGTGTAGTCAGACGGAACGACAGCAAGAGCCGAAGTCACACCGTGAATCAAGTTAGCAAGGACATCGTTGGAGACGGAGTGGGGGTGGGTCCAGAGGAAAGCTGGAGCCTGGGAAGGAAGGTCTGCTTCTGCATATATGTCTAACACATCCCATACGAGTACTTCCAGTCCCGTCTTTAGGAGCCAGATAGATTTTACAGGAGAAATACTTTTGTGCCAGCTATTTGCTAACAGAGTCCCTCAAAGTGTGGTTCTCTTCCCGACAATCCCTTTGTCGGAGAGGTCCAGTGTAAGGCAGCCCCTAGGCGCTGCCTTTCCAGGACATGGTGAGGTGACCCTCCTTCCCACTGGGTGGCTTACTTGTTGCTGTCACGGTACTCGTAGATGTGACATCCTTGAGGCAATCCAGTCTCGTGATCCAGAGTGAAAGCAAGTTTTAGCTGAAGAGAGAGAGAAGAGAAAAATAATTAAGTCTAGGCTGCATGTTTTATTCATTCGGACGGCTGAAATGAAAAAAAAAAAAAAAAAAAAAAAAAAGCAAAATCACATTCCCTCCAGCTGACATGTTGTGGAGAACCCGGGCCTGCCACCTCTGGGAAGAGCCATGCCTTACGGGCCACTGTCATCAGTGAGGACTGCTACTGGACTCTGCTTATTCATTCAGCAGGTAACCGATTATTTACTAAGCACTTACTTTGTGCCAGACACTGAGCTAGCTGATGGGGGAAGAACAGTGAAGAGAGGCAGAGAGGGGCCTCCTTCATGGTAGAGGCGGCAGATAATCAATTCACACGAATGAGTGAATGAATGAATATCAAGCTTCCAATTAATATAGGTCCTCTGAAGCAGGAAAAAGACTCCCGCGTTTCGACAGAAGTAAATAACCTGAACTAGACTGGGAAGGAGGGAAGGAGGAGGGGGTTAACTAAATTATGGGGGTGGAGGATGGGGAGAAAAGGAGATTCTCGCTGGCAGAGAGCACAGCATGTACAGAGGCCCTGATGCAGGAGTCCGGGCACTGAAGGGTAGCTGGTAAGCCAGAACCCAGTAGGTACAGGGGACATGGTGGTCAGTGATGCTGCAGAGGGAGGCCAGGGCAAGAACTTGAAGAACCTCGCTGGCCCCCTTAGAATTACCCGAATAGCAAAAGAAAAGCCTTTGGTGAGGAATGGGTAGATGACATGATCAAAATTGGGTTTTATTATTATTATTTTTTAAATTTTTTTTAATGTTTATTTATTTTTGAGACAGAGAGAGACAGAGCATGAACAGGGGAGGGGCACAGAGAGAGGGAGACACAGAATCTGAAACAGGCTCCAGGCTCTGAGCGGTCAGCACAGAGCCCGACGCGGGGCTCGAACTCACGGACCGTGAGATCATGACCTGAGCCGAAGTCGGACGCTTAACCGACGGAGCCACCCAGGCGCCCCATAGGTTTTAAAGATCTCTCTGGCTACTGTGTAGACAGCAGGCTGTAGGGTAGAGCAGGAGGCCACCCAGCAGCGCAGGTGAGCAGTGATGGGGGCTGGGGCTAAAGGGTTGGGGAGGGGGCCCAAGAGGGAGAGAGAAATGGACAGTTTAAGAATCTACCTTAGAAGTAAATGTTGAGGGGTACTTGGGTGGCTCAGTTGGTTAAGCATCCAACTCTTGATCTCAGCTCAGGTCATGATCTCACAGTTTGTGAGATCGAGCCCCGCGTTGGGCTCTGTGCTGACAGCACAGAGCCTGCTTGGGATTCTCTCTCTCCCTCTCTCTCTGCCCCTCCTAGCTCTCTCTCTGTCTCAAAAATAAATAAACTTCAAAAAAAAGAAGTAAATTCTGAGAAGTAGAGGTGACAGGACATGCAGGGTTCCATGTTGGGGAGTGGTGAGGATGGAAAAGAAGAAATCAAGGACAGTTCAAGTTTTTGACTTGAACAATCACTCAGGCGACTGTTCCACTGCTGAATCTGGGGGTGGCTAGAAAGCCACAAGTTTCATTTTGGACATATTAACTTTGAGGCACTCAGTAGCTTTCTCTGATTAGGGATGACCAGGAACGAGAATCTGGTAATGAGGTCTTGGTTTCTTTCTGGATTCTGGAGGGGAGTGCTCAGGTGAGTGCAGAGCTCCATCTGGGTTGCTGGGAAGCAAGAACTCAGGGAGGTTGTGCGTGTCCTGCTAGAGCGGAGTTGGATATGGCAGCTTTAACATTTCTAGACCTAGAGCCAATTACTAGATTTACAAATTCACTGAGTTTTTAAAGCGCCAGGGAAATTTTAACTAAAATTAACTGCACATTAGGAGGGTACATTATTATAACTTTTTTTTTTTTTTTTTTTTTTTTTTTTTTTTAACTGCAAGGCTGTTAACACAGATCTGCATCATTAGATGCTGGATGATTTTTCTCTTCCTTAGAGGGAAACAAGCTTGGAGGAATGGCTCGTCCTCTTACTGACCCAGATGAAAATACAAAAACAGAAACAAGCCCTTCTTCACCAACATGAAGCCAGGAACTTCAAGTCAAAGGCATGTTTTCCCTACAGAGCACTGCTTGGATCTTCCCAGCCCTCTTTCAGTAAAACAGAAGTTAAAAAAAAAAAGTCTATTAACTATACCGTTTTCTCTTTACTTCCCTCTTTGTAGCTGAGGCCAGGCCTATATTCATTTGGTCCATTGCAAAGACTGCACCACTTAGAAATTTTCAAATCCTTTGACTCAGTGATTGATGAATGTATGGTTTAGAAAAATTACCATAAATATAAGAGGAAAAGTTTTTTTTGTAAAACCATTCACTTCAGTATCATTTATTGGAAAGACTCTAAAAGATAAGCAAAAGCAAAGTGGTTAGGTAAACTCGACTATATAGTCACATGCAGAAGAGCAGCCATGAAGAATTTTTATTAATCTAGGAAAATATCTGGAAAAAATCAGGATGTGTACTTGATTATGTATCAAGAAAACTATGTAAAAACAGAACAAAGACCACACAGAAGAAAGACTGGAAGGAACAATGGCAACAGTGCTCCTTTCCTTTCCTTGCCTTTTCCAAATTCTTTACGATAAATGTGATGAGATATAAGCTGTAGTCTTTAGTCATAAAGGAGTTATGGGAAATTTCATTCTGGGGGATTCTTGAGGTCAAGAAACTGTGAATACAAATTTAACAGGTGAGTAAGTAGAGGTGGTGATGAGGCGGGGGAGAGAGGTATGGGACAGAAGAGTGCTCATACTTATTGAATGTAGAACTCATATTTATTGAATACCTACCAAGGAAAGGCTCTCCTTTACCCTGACCACAACCATCTGAATTAGGTATTACAATTTCCTTTTTACAGGGGAGGAACTTGAGGCTAAGAAAGGTTAAGTAATTTGTCCAAACCACAATTAGAATTTCAGCTAAAACCCACGCTCTTTCCACCTCACCGGAATTAGAGGACTTGGTAATGGTCTGGATGTAAAGCCTGCCAGAGAGGGAGGCATCAAAGATGATGTTTTAAGGTGCTCTGCCTTGGGCAGCAGGGCAGATGGTGCTGTTATGCACCGTGACAAGGAGGAATGGCAGGTTTGGAAAAAGAGCTTGAGTTTAGTTTGGGAGTGCTGATTTTAAGGTGTCTGAGAGGCATCTTAGTGGAGATGAACAGTAGGCAGCTTGTATAAACAATTCCGAACTTTATAGGCAAGACTTATCTGGAGGTACAAATTTGGAAGCCTCTAAATAATAAGTAAGATGGTGACTAAAGCCATTGGTGTGGATGAGAATGTCCTAAGAGAATATGAAGAGTCAAAATGAGGTCTTTGACAGAACAGCTGTATTTCAGAGCTGGGCAATGGAGACTAAGAAGGAGTGGTCATGGAATTTTGAGTTATGATGTTACAGGAGCCAAGAGGAGAACATGCCTTAAGGAGGGAGCAGTCAGCAGCATTAAATCCTTTTAAGAGGGCAAGTAAGGGAGGAACAAACATCCAAAACAAAGAATCCATTGGATTTAGCAACAAGGACTCTCAGGAGAGTGGTGGGAGCAGAGATCAGGGTGTGATTGGGGTGAAAAATGAGAAGATAAGGAAGTGGGGATCAGGAGCGCATGTAACTCTTTTAGCAAATTAGACGGTGGGGGCAAAGAGTCAAGGTGAATGGATTGGAACAGGACAGGACAACAGGACGGGGGCTTAACGGAGAGTGTATTGTTAGATAACAGGCTTGCTTGAATGCAGATATAAAAGACGCACTACAGAAGGAGGGCTCAAAGACAAAGGAGAGATGGAGGTAGTTAAAACATCAAGGTGTCCGAGATGACAGGAGGGACTGGAAACCAACATACAAGTGGAAGGGCCTTTCTCCACTGCAGCAGTAGGGAAGGCTGGGCAGGGATGCGGATATATCTGTGGATTTGGCGGGGGTGGGGAGCAGGATGGGGGATGGTGGTGGTTTGGAATGTTCCAGTTTGATTTTTGTTCTTTTCTGAGAATTAGGAGGTCAAATTATCCTCAAGGAATGGAGGGTTTGGTGAGGGAAGAAAAGGAGGTTGGAGGAAAGTGATGAAGGCTTGAAATTGTTTCTTTGGAGAACAGGAAAAACCGTTGACCAGGGAAGAGCACGAGGATTGCCAGGGAGCATTAACGGTCCAGCTGAGGCCACAGGAACTGAAGTTACTGTAGCAACCATCTGCCCAGATGTTGATTTTTTTTTTTTTCTAGCAACTTAGACATTGGCATGAAGAAAGTTAGGTTGGTCCAAAGCTGAGCATTTGCCAGGAAGGTTTGAGGGAAGAATAATGGAGCGAGGGAGTAGAGATACGATATTGGCAACAGATGCGCCAGAGACTCGAAGGGGGAACAGGCAAGAAATAAAAACGAAAGGGGCTGATGGGAAGGAAACAGAAAGATCCTGGTGACAGATGTCTTGTACGGAGCTAGTATTTATCGAGCGTGTTCTCTGTCCTTAATCCTCTATTTAAACAGCCCTGTGAGGTTGGTTCCTATCCATATGTTACAGAGGAGTTTTCAGTATTTAGCCCAAATTAGCAAGTAAGTTGCAGAACTAAAGTGTGATCCACACTGCTAACCACTGGACCACACTGGCCTCCTGAGTATCCATGAGGTCAAGGAGAGGAATTGTAAGAGTGTCCATGAGGGACTGGAGGCTGCAGTCAGAGAGGAAGCCGCGTCTGACCTTGGAGACGGGCAGTCAACCTCAACATGAGTAGAAATCAAGGAATGGAGAGTTGGAGGTTGGGATGAAAAGGTCCTCCATGAGAGGTGTGAAATTCACCCAGGACAATAATACATTTCCCAAACGGATCCACAAAGTGTGTCACTGTAGGTGTATAGGTGGTTTGCAGGTACCTACACAAACGAATGGGTCCAACCGGCCTATGAGGCAGACCTGGGCACGGTATCCAGCAGTCATTTCCTCCTTCTCAGTGATGCCCTAGATTTGTTCAGCTAGTTACCCTCCCACT